ACACTAAATTAGGTGAAAAGATTTGTTTTATAAGTCTCATATCTGTTTCAAATGCTTCTGTTGAAATGGAATTGTCACCTTCCTTCCATATTATCATGTATGATATTACATTTTTTTTTTTTTTTTTTTTTTTTTTTTTTTTTGTTCAATCAGGTTTTCACTCCAGTACCAGATAGTAGTGGTACCCCAGAATTTACACCACCACCACCTGTTACATCAATGCCCAGCAGACCAGATACCTGGGATGGACAGGGGCAAGGTAAGACAATTTATTCTGTTGATTAGTTTTGATGTATGAATTGTATTATTTTCCCATTTACTGGTGGCTGGATATAGTAAGTGTTCTTGCAGTATAAATAATTTTCTAATTTTTCAGTTTCAGATGCAGAAAGCATGAAAGTAAACCAAGGAATGGCACCAGTCATGGCAAGTATCTATTGACCCTTCATCAGAATTAGAAATGACTTTTTGCATTGACAATTGTGGTTGATAAGGAGCATTTCATTTATTTATTTATTTATTTGTTTATTTATTTTTACATGTATTTTGAAGTTGCTTCATAGATTATCATATGATCTTGTGTTATGAAATTAGAATTGTTTAGGTGTTGATACAAGAACCTTCTCTTAATTAATACAAAATGAATACTTCTTTTACTTTATTGATCTTAAAGGGCACTTTTTCTGGCTTTTAAGCTTCAATCAACTTCAGAAATGCTGTTGTATGCACTTCTGATAAATATTTACTTCAAAGAATCTACCCCATAGAGGATTAGCCCTCCTACCTGAATTTTTAAGAGGGGACATGCCACCTTAACCCTTCCATCTCCATGGGTCAGTGAACAGTCAGTCTCTCTCTTTTATTTGTATCTTGTGGTTAGTGGTTAACATGGATGTTCCAAGGAAGAAAGTTTCCACTGCTGCTAGAGGGCTGTATACCATGAGATGGTATGTTGTGCCCTTTCTCTCTGGCACTCAGCAGGGACCTTTAAACTTTAGAGTTATATAGTGTGTGAATTTTTTAAAGAGATTTTGTTGAGAACAGGTACTTGTACTACACATCCTATCTTTGCTGGAAATGTTGGATAGCTAAATTATGGTTGTTTGGCCAGTGTGTCAGTGGAATCAGCACTCTCTAATAAATTATATCATCATGTATAAGGCATTGCACAGAACACCAGACCAAAATAAGATATATGGAAATTTAAGAGGCATCCTTCTCACTCACTCTTTCCAACACCACTCCTTGCTTTCATTTAGACAAACATTATATTACTCTGAGTTTTTAATATTTTATGGATATTCTCCTCTATTTTTTCCTCACTGTTCACTGTACTGCTGCCAAACTCAACAATCTGCAGGCCCTGTCAGTTGCATCGCTGGCTAACTGCACATAGCCTACCCATTGCTTAGTGGTCCATGGTTCCCCTCCCATGCAATAGACCCATAATTCTTAGCTGATACAAGACAGTTGTTAGTAGCACTGCATTTCCATGACAGACATGAGCTAACAACCACTTTCTTTAAGGGGACCGACCTTGGTGATGGGGGGGATTTTGGGTCAGAGTGGTCGAAAATGATTTATGGTCAGTTTCATGTGAGTGTAGAATTACCCACGTGAAGGTTTATGTTATGAAAAAATGAAGAAAAATAATAAATTACGAGTTTTCACATTTCTTTCCTATTAAATGCAGTAAATATGATTCAGTTTTGACATATTCATCATACAAAGTATGTTTAGGGTTTGATGATAATACAGAGGTCCAAGTGTCACTGCCGCACTAGACTTTGATTGCAATAATTTTCCATCTGAAACTAAATAACTGATTAACCCATTAATGCTGGTATATTTTGAAACCGAAAATAAAAGATTCCGGACGGCTACAAAACCGTTGGGCGGAGCTGCCCTGGACTCTGTCCGCCTGCAGGGGCCGCTGCTGCGTCAAAACGCAAGCCCCGATACAGCAACACACTGGCGGGACGCCCAGCAATGTTTATTTTTTGGGGTATCTCATAGGCGGGACACCCGTCATTAGTGGGTTAAACATCTATGTCATTTTAAATCCATTTTACAAAAAATTAAATATAAAGACAATGTATGATATAATTTATTTGTGTAAGCTCCTAAGATAGGCCTACAAATATGTAATCAAATGTATACACAATAAAACATCAACATAGGTAAAAAACAAGAAACAGCTGATTTATATGACGGTCATGTTGTTTTGGGTCTGGATTTGCCCCTTTTCATGGGAGTCATTTGTTTATATGTTTGTATAACTCAGAGACTTATGATCATATCTTTACGTAACAAAGTGCATTTGAAAGAGAAATTATCACAGTTTGAACAATAATGAAAAGGTAAAGATTCATAGATAAGAAGAAATAAAAATAAAAAAATTGTGGGGTTTCTATAATCAGGCTTCAAAGTCATTCAAGAGTCTAGCTAGGCTGTTTCTTAGGTGTCCTAAAAGATCTACTGCCTCTTTATGGCTATATGG